AACCTCCCCACCAGTATATATAGGGAGACGGCAGCTCCGATCATGCTTTGCTCACACAAGCACGAAGCCGAAAGCACCAGCCTGAAGATGGCGAGTGGAACCTTGTCGAAACATCGCCAAGATGCTCTCACTCTTACACGGGAAAAGACCCGAACATGCCAAGACCTGCGTGTGTGTGTGTGTGTGTGTGTGTGTGTATGTGTGTATTGTTATATAGATATGGACAGTTGGCACGTCCAGGATCCCACACCATCACAGGGGCAGGAACCCTATAAATAATCTCTCTCCCCCTTTTGTTTTAATTGATTTGAATTAAATTTGTTTATAAAATTTGAGAGGATTACACTATGTTGTTACTGAATATTATAATTCCTCCTGTTGAACCGACTCAATATTCTAGATGAATGAAAAACTAATTTACATTTAATCCAATTCTTTGAGAACGCTCTATGTAAGGACAACTGAGAAACCATAGGCCCTCCGCAGCTTTATGAGCAGGCTAACATATATCTCCTGTGAGGGCAGCCATATATATCTCCTGTGAGGGCAGCCAACAACAACAAAGCTTTTTATCTCCCCGAAACCGGAGTAAAGGGAGTTAAATGTCCTTATTTCCCTGTATAACTGCACAATGTGCTAAGGGGTGATTAAAGCCTCTCACAGGATATTGGCGAACCAGTGAATGGTCCCACCATGCAACGTGGAAAAATGGCAGTGTCCGTTAAAAAGCATGCCAAAATGGTCTTATTTTTTTAGGTGCGAACACAGCAGCAGCCTCTGCCGCTCAGCCTGTCTGATAAAAAAGCTACTGTGTGATTGAGCAGCGAGGAGGGGATAACAGAGGCTCCGAAGACCCCACTCCCTGTGTTCTCCGAGGGGAGGAAATCACCACTGGCAAAATGAATTAGAGACAAATAAGCACGCTTCCTTAAAAACGGTTTGCAGGTCAGATCACAATGGCACGGTAAAGGCGTTTGGCAAAGAAATGTAAAACAGAGTTCTCTCCTAGAGAAGCAACTGCCATGACCAGGAAAATCCCAAAACCTCTGAGGCTACTAAAGCGGCTTTCTGTCATTCCGACTGCTTCCTTACAAGTTGGGAGTTGGAACTTAGTAAATAGAAACCTAAATTTGGAAATCCGTTCTGATCAAACTAATTCAAACCAGAGGTGGTATTCAGCAGGTTCTGACCAGTTCTGGAGTACCGGTAGCAGAAATTTTGAGTAGTTCTGAGAACCGGCAAATACAACCTCTGACTGGCCCCACCCCCATCTATTTTCTGCCTCCCGAGTCCCAACTGATTGGCTGGGTCTTCCTTTGTTGCCCTGCACAGGAGAATAGAGCTGGAAAGCAGGTTAGTGTGGTGGGATGGGAATGGAAATTTTGCAGTAACCTTCCCGCATGAGTGGCGAGGGAATGGAGATTTTACAGTATCCTTCCCCTGCTATGCCCACCAAGCCACCCCCACCAAGCCATGCCCATAGAACCGGTAGTAAAAAAAATTGAATCCCACCACTGATTCAAACATTTAAATCCTGCTCCGGCCAAGGAAAAGCTGCCTATCATACCAAAGGCTGAGCTAAAATTGGGGGACGCTAGGGAGGAGCCAGGGATGAGCAACAGCGTCCTAACAGTTAAGCCCAGCCTATCCAAGCAGAGACTAAGCACCACCTACTCTCTGGATGCTCGGAGCAGCTCAATGGAGAAGTGGGCCTTTGAAGCAATATTTTGAGGTAAAAACTATGTCCCACTCACTTTAGAAAATGTGCTATTAGCTCAGAAGAAAAAAACGTATTGCTAGCAAGGGGTTGTTTAATGAGGAGGAGTTAAGAGTATAGGAAATTCTAATTTGACGAAATAAGAGCTTCATAAAAGGTTATTTCCTGATGAAAGACAGGAAAATAATGATGTACTCTGTGTCTTTCATTTATGTGGTGTATTTCAGGAGGTTCAGAGAAAATTTATCCTCTTTGGATCCAAGAGTGGCATGCTTCATTTATCTCAGAGCTATTTTGCCTTACATATTTTTATATCAGACTAATTTTGTTTCCATCCTAATACCCAAACTGAAATTTGAAAGAACCAAGATACCTAAATCTAAGAAAAACAGCTCATTTATAAAGCTAGTAAATAAGGCTTCCAACTAATTTTTTTTGGCAAATGTACACATCCATAAGAGTATTCAATCAAGCAATAAAGGTAATTACAAACCATGTACCCTGCACAGCAAGAACAAAATCATTAAAGCCAGGGAGGCTATTCTTAGTTTAATCTGTGAAATTACCTACTATTGCACACATTTGATACATCACTGAAGACATGTTGTAAATGAAAAGAATGTGGTTTTTAATTGCTTTGTAGAAACCAATATCCAATCAATTTTTTTCTGACAACAGTAAACATAAGTAAAGTTAATTACTGTTGCCCCAAATCCAGACTTAACTATGCTTAGAGCTGATCCAAATCATAAAATTCTGCATGTTACAGTAACAAACCTAGGAACAAGGAATGAAGACCGCTTTTAAATGGTCCGTTTAAAAAGACAGCAATTCCACGTGAATGATAGTATTGACCACATTTGTGAATTAAAAGATCATCATCTAACAATCAGTGATGAAATAGCATAAGCCAGGACTTCTCAAATGGCTTTCCCCAATGTACTGGAGAAGAAGCATTCGCTAACAGCTAATCACAAGTAAACCCCACTGTTACTCATTTGCTACTCATTTGAAAGTAGAGTACAAATTTCTAAGAAAGCTGAATTGTTACAAAATATCCAGAAATCTAAAAATCCTGGCTAGGACCGTTCTGAGAAGGAGGATCCATGTACATGGCTGGGAAGGAAGGAAGTGTGGCCAGCAGTGCTCTTGAGAAGCAGAGTCTGGCGTAGAACAGAGCTGCCTTTTTTTCCTTTTGAGCACCAGATCCAGAAGGCCTGGGGTTTAATGGATGCTAACCCGGCTGGAGGGAAAGGGGGCAATCTTTCCCAGGAGATATTGTTTCGGGAGTTGTTCAGGACAAGCCACATCAGGAGAGAGCATCAGGCACTCTAATGGCCTTGTCTTCATCTCCTGGAACCTCAGTTCTTTGTAGCAGAGGATTAACAGTGGTTGAGCTTCCAACTCAGGGTCTCTCCCTTAAAATGACAGTCTGATCTATTGGATAAAACCCCAATAACAAAAGGCAAGACAAGAAAGAATGCATAGAAACTAAGCAAGGAGATAAGCAAGCTAGAACTAAGGCAATTTTTTTTAATAGTAAGAGCAATTGACAATGGAATGGCTTGCCTTCAGAAGTTTTGAGTGCTCCATCACCGGAGGCTTTTAAGAAAAGACTGGACAGCCATTTGTCTGGAATGATATAAGGTCTCCAGCTTGAGCAGGGGGTTGGGCTAGAAGACCTCCAAGGTCCCTTCAACTCTGTTATCTAAATTTGCATCTAGCGAACACACAACTTTAGTATTACCTTAGTATTCAGCGCTATCTGTTTTGCTATTTTTGCACAAGTTATGCAAATCTATTCAAAGTTTCTCCATATGAGAAGATCCTTTGATATAACAAGACAATTACCCAAATAAGCAAAAAGTATTTTCAAATACATCATTTCCATTTTCCTCAAAATAATGCCCTCCTTCCATAGTCTCAAATTAAGTCATTGCCTATTTAGACGTAACCTGATGAGTACAGGTTGATGTAACGTTCATAACATATTGGTTAATTCCCATTACAAGTTTTTTACTTTCATATAAAAGTAAAAAAGGTATCCCTTCGTTTAGTGCCTGTTCAAAGTTACTTTTCTGGGGGACTCATGACCAGTTTCTGAAATTCTCCTCCCCCACCTCATAATCATCTGACAGTGTTTGCCAAAAGCTGACATTTATTTCTGATTTTTGGTGAAACTGATTTGCTCATAGCAAATCATTAGTTCACCTAATGTCAGCTGCAAAAAAGGTCATTGGGTTGTGACCTGATTTACAACCATCACAACTTATGATTGTGATGAGAAGTGTACATTATAGTTATAGTTGAGGACTGTCTGTGTTTTTGAAGTTACTTAACTTTAAGCTACAGTATTTTAAAAAATATTTAAAGCTGAAATGAAAACATAAAAAGCAGCCTATATTAAAATTCAAACTAAGAAAGAAAAGGAGAAATTAAAAAAAACTATCTTATGCTTATTAATAGTACTTGTTTACTAATGCACTATTATAATATAAGAAATACAAAATATTTTGTAAAATATTAAAAAATTGCAAGCAGCTTTAGTCAGTAATAACTCCTGATTACTTCCTGGATGAGTTGCTTTATATATCAAATTTCTATACTATATTGACACCTGAGCAGCTCTGGACTTTTTTTGATAAAATTTTGGAAGTGCCATTGTCTTCTTCCCTGAGGGCTGAGAAGATATAACTGGCCCAAAGGCTGTCTTAGGTATTGTGCCTAAGGAAGGAGTACAATTCTTGGTCTCCTAGTTTCGAGGTTGGTGCCTTAACCACTGCACTAACATGCTTTAGTTGTGAAGATAGCACCTCTGTTATGATTTGGCAAGGAAGGAAAATTCGTAAAACTGTCATTACATAACAACTGGTTTAAAGTTATGAGCCGTTCTTCTATCCAAACTTTCTAATCGAAAGTTTTACACCAATTTTCAAAGTAGAATTTATCAAAAGAAATATTCATGGCTTATCAAAACTAAATCTATATTCTCATATGGCTCATAGATTAATCACCATTCTACTTTTATCGCTTTATTTAATTAATATAAGCTACACTTAAAACTCCTGTATTAGAGTTTTCATTGACCTTGAACTATTAGTTTTAAAAAATTTAACTATTTTTTTAAATACCGGTATTTACTTGAGAAAACACTGACTTTTAAAAATAGCCATATTTTCAAAGGATCATTTGTATTAAGCAACACTGCTATTAAAATACCTAAAATATCTAAAATTTGTTTGAAGAATTTAAAAAAAGATAAATACAGCATGTCTGGACTCACAGAACTAGGACTGGAATGCCGTCTGACTTTCGGAGATTCCTTCTCAGCTGATGAAGATTTGAAATTAATGCAGGCGTTGTTCTCTGAATGAACTCTTTTTACTTGATTATTTGGCTTCTCAAATGGGTCAAAAGTGCTTTGTGTCCTCTGAACTCTGACTTTTTTGTCTTCTGGAATTGTGTCCAAAGGTTTAATCACAGAATCCATTCCTTGGCAATTCCGTGTGGACATCTTTGTGACGCATATCTAAGAAAAGAGACAAAATGTTTTTAATGTTTATTTAATTAGCTAAAATGTTTTTATGGCAGGAAAAGAAAATATACTCCTACATTCCATAATTCTTTACAGGTAGTACTTGACTTAAGACCACTACTAAGCATCAAAATTCTGTTGCTAAGTGAGACATTTGTTAAGTGAGTTTTGCCCCATTTTACAACCTTTCTTGCCCCCATCAAGTGAATCACTGAGTTGTTTAATTAGTAAGATGGTTGTTAAGTGAATCTCCCTTCCTCATTGACTTTGCTTGTCAGATCATAAAACATAATCACATAATCTGAACACTACAACAATCATAAATATGAAACAATTGCCAAGCAATTTTGATCACGTCATGATCCAACATGTGGAGGTTGCAATGGTTGTAAGTGTGAAAAGCAGTCATGTAACCTTTTTTAATGCCATTGTGACTTTGAAGGATTCTATATAAGATAATTCTGAATTAAAGTGTTTATGCATTAATGACAGCAAGATTACTTAGAATTAAAAAATGGCTTCCAAAAAAGTAAACATATTGGAAAACTGGTAACCACAGGTCTAATAAACCATTTTAAATTTTATATGCAAATTTATATACTTTTTTTCTCTCCAATTTTTCTTTGTATTAAATGAATCCATAAGCTTAGGAAACATCAGGATTAACCATTGAGTTTTCTACAATTAAAAGTTAATAAAATACTATTATTTGAAAACTTCTAACTTCTAATTGTAGCACATATCACATTATAAGCGCAAAAAAATTTCATGTATTACTATTCAAAAAACCAGATAATCCAATATTTCAAAGTCAATAAAACACTTAAAAATCAACAATCTAATATTCTGCTCACTGTTTATGTGGATATAAATAGAATTGGACCAAGTTTCAGTGGGGAGCAAGTATTTGTGAGTATATCATACAAAACTACAATGAGCTGAAGACCATTTTTAATGTTAAAATCCTCCAACCCCATCTTGAGATATTTTTTTTAATAAAAAGCTTTCCTGTAATAAGCAAGAGACTTTCTAAAGTTACTTTCTATCATTCCATTCCTTACAATTTTTTAAATTGATTTTGTCACTTTACTCCATTTATAGTACTTAGAAAATTTTCTGAGAGCATCATTTTTAATACTTTACAGGAATGGAGTGGTCTAGTCAGACAATAATCTGTAAGAAATACCAATATGATCTTTCCAGATAACTGAATAAGGGCTCCTCATAAAACAAAAATGAAAAACTAGTCCAAAATTTTGGGTGGGTGGATGGCTGATAGATAATAATTTCACATGTAACAGCAAAATACATTAATAAAATTTTATGTCATATACAGGTAATCCTCGAGTTACGAATGTAATGGAGCCTGCCAATTACATTCATAACCCAAATTTTGGGGGGGTGAATCATATCAAATGAACATAATCACTCCCTACTTTCACCCATGCATTTGCTAATCAAATGTGCAGATCATGAGATATCTCAGAGTGGAAAGGCTATGGGGGACTTAGCTATGGAACAGGCCACCTGCTTAAGGCCACCCAAGACCTTCCCCAGCCCACTGAGTTATCTCATGCTCCCTTCCCTGGGGTACCCACAATTGCTCACCACCATCCCATCCTCCTGTGAAGGGTAACTTCCTTGTGAAGATCTAGCAAGCTATCTCCACTCCAGTTTCTCTGCATGGTTTCTTTGCCTATTTGCAGTCTCAGTAAAAAAAAAGTTTGCAAGTGGACCAGACTTTGGAGCAGCATAATTGCATTGCTTCAAGTCGTCTTGCAAATGTATTTAACGCCGAGACTGGAAGCTTCTGGAGACAATGATCTCACATGAGATCACTGCCCTCAGAAGCTTTCAATCTTAGCACAAAAAGTGTTTGCAAGCCAATGGGACTTGAAGCAATGTGATTTTGCTGCCCCAAAGGTTTGTTGGCTTGCAAACAGTCTTTGGCCAGATCAGTTGCCTGGCTCAGTTCGCTGAAAACAGAAACTTAAAGTACTGTAGTGCGAAATCACACAAGATGATCTCGTGTGATCTCACACTACAGTACTTTAGGCTTCTGTCCTCTACAAACAGAAGCCTGCAAAACCTTTTCCAAATCTCGTACAGTCCTTGGTTTGCTGAGAACAGAGCCCTACAGTACTATTGTACTAGATCACACAAGAACAGTAGCATGAGATCTCAAGCTATTGATCTCACATTACTTTAGGCCTCTATTGTCCATGAATGCACCAAAGTAGCAAAGGAACCAACGGTTCACTGGATTGTTGCAAGTTAAGTGAGTCTCCATAGGCCCAGTTCCTGTGGACCAGTGGGGGGGGGGGGGGAGAATAGGCAGGATGCATGTTGCAGTGCTTCTACAGACATTTGTAAGTATAAAGAACTGCCATGGTTCATGCCAACGTTCATAACTTCAGGACTGTGTCACAAGTACTTGGTGGTGGTGGTGAGTATTATATCATAACTTCAAACGGTCGCAAAGTGAACTATTGTAATTTAAAGTATGTATAGCCAAAGTATTAGAATCTTTAATAGATTAACTGTCCTGATATTAATGCAAATAATTGAGTTTATTTAATCCAACTGGATTGCACTAATTAATTATTGATGGAAATTTTGACCACTAACAATGGTTTGCAAAATTGTACTTATTAGTTCTTGTTGCAAGAAATATGTTTTACAAAATTATTACAAATTGGTTTAAATTACTTTAATAAAAATAAAAAAGTAAAATAAAAAATATATTGTAAAATGCTTCAGAACTTTTCTTCCTTTAAAACCAAATTTGATTAATATTATGTAAAATTCTGATATCAAGTATACAAAGATGCTTTGCATGTCTTAAAACATGAGCTGGAGGGAAAATGAATTAGTATTCGTTGACAAATAGTAATACTTTTACTTTTTTGGCATATTAACAAAGTAATACATGAATAAAATTTACTTTGCTAGAAATACACTGTAATCTTTATTATTCTATCAGAAAATTTATAATTAAAGCAATATATTATCATTTTGTGGAATTCCTAAATTAGTTAGGCTTGTAAACCAAAAGTTCTCCAATAATTGGCAATTACACTTGAGCCATAGTATCACCAAAAGATGGACATGACTGAATGTATAACCTCATCATCATTTAAAAGTAATATAGTATTGAAACCCCATCAACCATTGTAAGAAGCAGTAAATACATACATTTTCATTTTAACATGGAAAATATCAATAAATATAATTAATGTAGACAAAAGCTCTTTTGGTTTCCTCCATAATTTTTAAATATTGAGAGGGGTCCCAAGGAAAAATTTGAGATATACTGCCTTAGGAGATATCCTCAACTTCAAAACCTTTACTATTAATGTATGAATTTATCTCAGCATTTTGGTCATTACCAAGTTGGAAAGCTATAGAAATTGATGCAGTAACTACAGAAACAGGGCAAGCAACAAACGAATCTGTAAAGTTCTATGTCAGCAAATATGGAGAATGACACATAGGTCAATAGAATGGAAGAGGTTAGTCTACATACAAACATTAAAGAAAATAGACTTAATAGAGTGTAGTACAATGACCTTAACCTAACAGGCTAGAAAAATAATTCTTAGCATCATACAACAAGAGGATATCCCAAGTGTTCAGAAGATATTATTGCTGATACACATTGAATAACTAAAGAAGCTAATTGAAAAAAATCCCAAGGATGTCAAAAAGAAATCAATATGTTTCATAAATTTAAAAAGCATTCATTGTGTCATTCAACTGTGGAAAATGGGAATCTCAGAACATCTTACTGTCCTCATTTGAAATCTATGCCACACACCAGGAAACCACACAGTGTGGGCAAACATGGTATAAAACACTGGTTCCAGGTTAACAAAGGAGTGAGAAAAAGCTGCATAACTGTTCCTTTTTTATTCTACATATATTCAGAATTTATCTTGAAGTAAATTGGATTGGAAAAAGATGAAAAGTTTTAAACTTAGAGAAATAAATATTAATAACTTGCACTGTGCATATGATACTACCCTGGAAGCTGAAAATTAAAAGGATCCCAATCCCCAATTCATGTAGTAGAAAAATGGGTCTAAATTTAATATTAAGATCAGCAAACTAATGACAATAAGTAGAGGAGCCAGCTTCATAATTGGCAATGAAGATATCACAATGATGGGTAGCCTCTGTCTTTTAGGATCAACCATCAATAGCAAAGGAACAGAAATACATCACACCACAGACTAACACTTGGTAAAGGAGAAATAAGGACGTGGAAAAGATATTCCAATGCTGTGATATGTATATACCTGCAAGCCATAGTATTCTTGTGACATTCTAAGGAAGTGAAATTTGGACAAGATAGGAAGACTATTGAAAATACCATGGACTGGCAAGAAATGAAGCTGGTGGGTCATCAAACAAATCAAACTAGAATTCTTCCTCAAGGTACAAATGACCAGACCCAAATTATCTCTCTTTGGATTCATTATGCAAAAACTTATTTTTCTGGAGAAAGCTTTAATACTGGGGAAATATGGAAAGAAATAAAAAGAAGAGGACAACCAGCAGCAAAATGGATAGACTCAGTTACAGTGGCAATAAGTATATCATTGCCACTGTAACTGAAAGAAGACATTTATCTTTGTGATTCCTAGGAATCAAAAACAACGTGGTGATACATAATCAAAAAAACAAACTCCATAATAGACTTTTAATTTTATGATTATTCAATTGTCTATGATAACACATGATTAATTCAACATGATTTTTAACTCATTTTCATTGGATACGTCAGAAGATGAATACGAAGGATTGGGTTTCAACCACTTTATGTTGGGAAAATAAAAATAGGAAAAATAAAATATTCACACAATAAATGTGACTTTTACAATTCACATTGTAAAATAAGTATTTAAAACGACAATTGTTCAACACATTCCACAAGAATCCCATATCTCTCTAGCTACAAATGTCATGTAATTTTGATTGTTTGGTTTTTTGGT